CTATTGGATTTTTATTTCCAGCACCTGCTTGTTATGTAAATTTGTCCCTGTGACACATCTGTTTGTTTCTCTTTTTTTTCTTTGCAAGCCACTTAAAGTTTTCTCTGTTTTCAAGAGGCTGCCAAAAGCTTGTGTTTGTTTCAAAATGGAAATTTCAAGTGTACTCAGTCAATAAACCGTTCAATGATCTTTACAGCCCAGAACAGCAACAAAAATGCAGACGAAGATCAGTGATTCTTACTTAGCTCGCGCCACGCAGACTCCTCTGTGATTCCGTGTGAGCTGCTAGAAACTGTGTTAGGAGGTGGCTTCTGAAGGCGACTCTTCAAAGGAACCCTCGCCAACAGCTACACGCACTCTCTGATAGGTACGCGTGTTTGATGAATCTGGTAATAACAACACTACATATTTTTATAACACGTAACAGGCGTTCAGGCTCCTTCACACACATGTTCTCATTTGATCCGCAAAACCGAGGCTGAGATAAGCCTTCTTATCGCCTTCTCCAGCTGCTCCTCTCTTCTTTGAATATCTTTTCAATGGAGAAACCGTTTTTCCTGCAGCGGGCAGGTGCCCAGACACAGACGCCCTTCCAGCCTCATTAGCCTTTTCTGCAGCCGCCGGCCGCCTTCCCCCGACCGCCCCGCCGGCGCCGCTCAGTGAGATCCCTCGCCAGGGTCCAGGGGTTCTCAGCAGCCTGTGTATTAGAGCTGCTCCGAGTTTTTTTAAAATACTACTTTGGGGCCGAGTCTTCCTTTAGACCACCTGCAACAGAATTGCAAGGTGGGAAGGGCCCAGGCAGTGGTATTTATTTTAAAAAAGCTTTGGGGTGATTTTTAACAGGCAGCAAGTTCTGAGAACCACGTTGTAGACACTTAGAGAGCTACAGTCTCCAGAGATGGAAAGCAATTCAATTTCAGTTTATAAAGATGAAACCTTTATTTACTAACTGTTATTACCCTCAGTGGGTTTTCTTTTAAGATAGTTTCATGGTTCAGTTTATTCAAGTAAGAATAAAGTAAATTTCATGTATATATTTATAATTAAAGTATTTCCAGATGTCTTATTTCTCAATGAGACTCTATTTTTGACATAAGGTTACATCTCATTTGATAGGAACAGAGGCCCAGAGAGGTTCGATTTCTGGCTGCAGGTTATGAAGTGTCTTCATGTGAGGGGCGGGGGGGAGAGGGAGAGGCAATCCCAGTTTTCTGACTTCTGATTTGATGAATTTTCTCTGTCCTGCTACTCACAGTGTGGTCCATGGGTCCACAGGACCTGCACCATCACCCAGAAGCTTGTTAAAAATACAGAATCACAGGCCCCACCCAGATATATTGACTCAGAAGCTGTATTTTAACAATTATCCGGGGGATTTGGATTCTCATTAAGGTTTGAAATTCCTGCCTTGCACCCTTTTGCCTCCTGGACTTTTTAGTCTTATATTTCATGATACGTTTGAATAAATACGTTGCCTAGATGGATGTCACGCGGGGTAATTTTTCAGGACTCTCGCCTGTAGTTCTCGCTCTGAAGTTTATCTTCTGGCCTTTCCACTATGACTGGCGGCATTTTCCCTCTCGCTCTCTTACGGCCTGGAAATGAACCTACGACCATTTTCTGCTGCTTTGAATTCTGCAGGTACAAGAGCTGCGGGGGCCCCTGGGAGGGTTGGTGTTGCTTTTTCACTGTCGTCATTTCCCTTCCTTTCTGAGCCAGAGGGTGTAACCTAGGAAAATGCCAGTCAGACTCCTGTTCAAATGGAGATTCTCGGTGGACCTTGTGGACCCCTCTTTCTCATTGTCATCGCCCAGAGTTCATGAGAGGACTTCGGGGGGCCCGTGCAGGAGCGTCTCTCCTAATAGATTCTCTCTACGGACGTCAGCCGAAAGGTCCCTAGGGGTGCGCATTGCACCGTGCTGAGCCCCACAGCGCTCCTGCGCCCCTAATGAGCCCCAAACCTGGAGGAGTTTAAGGGGAGACGGAGAACCCCCGTGGCGGCTGCAAGTCCAAGACCGAGGCTCGCCCGTGGCTGCTGCATCTGAGATGAATCGCACGTCTTAGGATTCAAAGGCCCTGCTGAAGCGTCGCGGCCCGTGGGAAGCGGGCCTGACCGCCGCCCCGGCCACTCGGGGCTCCCGCCGCTTCCCTGCCCGTGTCTGTCCCCACCCCAGCGCCGCCCCGACGCGGACCTCCGTGGCTTTGTGCCCCTCGGGGGGAGGAAATACACCAGCCCCAGCGACGGCCGTGGGGCCAACGTGAGTGTCCCTGGAGGAGGACTGTGCGCCTGCCGGCGGGGTGTCTGCTGCTACGCAAAAGTGAACCGAGCACGGCCACACTCATGCCAGCAGCGTGCAAATGCGTATCACACCAAAACATACAGAACAAAACATACACTGGTCCTCATGCAAATTCCTGTAACTTTCTTTATGGCTCTCGTGGAGCATCTCTAATTCCCTGTGTGGCAGCAGATCTATTCTCTGTACTTGATTATTAGAAGCTGCTTGAAATGTCTTTATATTTCCTACGGCGCCCAGCTCAGTGCTTTCGCCGTGGTGCGGACTCTCGTCGCATCAAACTAAATCCTGGGGGGAGGAAGGGAGGTGAGTGGGCTTCGGGCTCTATTCTTATTTCAGACGCTGCGGAGAGAGCAGCGAGTGTCCCTGGGCTCTGTTTTTTATCCGTAGAACGTGGCCGCAGGAAGGGAAGACCCTTCCGATTCTTTCCATGTGCGGTGGGGACGTGCGAGCCAGCCGCGTGGAAAAGCCCGGGTGGAACCTCAGGTGCGCTCACAGGTGCGGGCGTGTTTGGAGCGTCCTTGGCATGCGGGTGGCAGTGAAACCACAGAAGAGGGACAGATCTCACAGAAAGTGCTTAGAGGGAGACGTGGTTGACCGTGGGAGGCCGCCAACCTACTGGGAAAGGCACACGAGCGAGGATTAGCCCATGGTGACTATGGGGGGGACGCAGGTGGGTTGGAAGGCAGGTCCCCGTAGAGGGCGGCCGCAGAGCCTCGCCTCCCTGCTCCTCCGCAGGCTCTGGACCTGTCGTCCCGCAGGGCAGGTGTGTCTAGGACGGGACAGCGCAGCGTTGCTTGACCCGCGGGCCCTGTCCTCTCCATGCCCCTGGAGCTGAGGAGCGCGCTCACGTGTACTCATTGTTATATATTAAACTTTCACCAGTGGTATTGTTTAAAAAAATAAAAACCCACTGTTCAAATCTTTCCTTTGCAAAAGTGTAGCATAAAACCCAGACTCATTTGCGCCCCATGTGAGACCGTCACCGTTTCCTCCTTAGGGGTTGTTCATTCAGCCTTTTTCAGGCTCATCTTCTCAGCAGCTTTTAAGAGAGTGAAGGGTTCCTGAGACTAAGCCGTTTGAGAGCCACTGGCCTAGATGGCCACCCATGGCCTGGCCTCAGTCCAACTTTTCAGATTCGCCTTTCCCTTCCCCACACCTCCCTTTTTCTACTCCAGCAACCCTGACTTCTCAGTCCCTTGTTCTTACCATGTTTCCTTCCCATACCGGCCACGCTGCCAGCAAACTTGAAGCCCTTGTTCAGATTTCATCATCTCCGCCGTCATTTCCTTAGGCAGGCCTTCCCTAATCTTCTTGACTGGGTCAAATTTACTATTTTAGGACCTCATAGCATTAGCCTCTCTCATTTATTGTTATGGTTATAATAGCGCATTTGTTTCTGTCATTATTTGGTTCATGTCTGAAGGCCCACAAAGTAAAAATGCCCTGAGATCAGAAACCAAATCTGCTTGTGTTCAACAGATGCTTAGTATATAATACTCGTGGAATGAATAAAATACTGGTTATATATAGTACCTGTGACATTAGTAAAATAGTCACAGTATATGTGGTAGCTATGAAATGAATAAAATAGATGTGCTGAAGTTATGCTACAGGCACAAAAATAGACCTAAAACATGTAGTGTAACAAAAGGTAGAAGTAAAATACAAAAATAAAACCAAGAGGTTGTCAGGATCAGTAAGAATTTCACAAGGATTTGGACAGAGAGAAAGGAGTCTGATGATTCATCATCTAGAGGGGAAAACAAGGCAAGAAAGGCCCAGGGATAGACGGGCACCAATTGAAAAATTATATTTATCAAGAAGTAAGAATCCCATTGACTCTTGAACATCACAGGGGTCAGGGGGGCCCAGGTCCACAGGGTAGAAAATCTGCATATAACTTTTGACTCCCCCAGGACTTAATTACTAATGGCCTACTGTTGACAGGAAAGCTTATGGGTAACATAGTCGATCAACACGTATTTTGTATGTTATATGTATTATATACTGTATTCTTACAACAGAGTAAGCTAGAGAAAGGAAAATGATATTAAGACAATCCTAAGGAAGAGAAAATACATTGATAATATTTATTGACGTATAAGTGGACCCATGCAGTTCAAATCTGTGTTGTTGAAGGGTCAACCGTTTATTGAAGGGAACAGCAGGAGATAAGATTAGAAAGATAATCTGGAGCCAAATGTTCAGGCCCTTAGATATTAACCTCAGGAGTTGGAGCTTCAAACCATAAAGAGTGGGGAATCCAATAAGTGCCTGGGGCAAGGACTGGCAGAAAAATGGTGCATTTGGGGCACATTCATCTATGAGCAGCATGTGAGACAGATTAGAGTTGTGGGGGTGAAACTAGATGGGGGCTACCTGGACTTCTGCCTAGAAATCCTTTGAAAGACTTGTGGCCACATGAAGTCTGTGTTCAGAGACCAGGGATGACTTAGACAGCGCTGAGATAGAGATATGAAAGCCATAAAGCTTCCACAGAATGGGCTTTCCTTCCCACGGTCCTCCAAGCTCTTTCCTAAAGCTCAAGAGTGAACACAGATTTTGTGTCAGTGCCCAGAGGAATGGTTCTGGAAACACACTTTTCTGTTGTGGCGGGTGTGACACTCGCTTACTCACCCGCGCGACCTGGTCTGGAAGCTGGGGTCGGGCACCTGGTCATGTGATGTTTCCCCCCTTTAGGGCGCATTCGCCAGCTGTGTTGTAAATGTCTGCACTCCAGGTTGAATTTTTATGTACTTGGAATCACGTTGGAACCCAAACTCCGACAATTTGAACTAAAATAAAAGGTGAGACTTTTTTTTTTCATTTTTTCTTAAACAAGTTTATAGTCAGTTTGCCTCCAGGGATCACTGTACAGTGAGCTCCGTAAATGATCGTCCTACAGGCAGAGTGTGCGCGCTGAGCCTGTTTTAAAGATTGAACAAACGAGAGCACGGAGCCTTGTGCCCTGGAACTTGGCTAATAATTTTTCATGTGGACTTTCCCGGAGACTTAAGTGAGCAAAGTATTATGGGAGTTCAGGGAGGCTAACCAAGAGAAATAAGACAGGGCCTACATCCTGAAGATGCTTGAGGCCTGGCAGAGAAGTGGGATACACAAAGAAATGGTTATGATAGAAGCAGCACGGAATAGATGTGAAAGCGACGTGTGACATTTATTGAGCACTTGCTAAATGCCACACGTTGACTCATTTAATTCTCAACACAACATACGGTGTGAGTACATTATTATCCCCATTTTACAGATGGCAAAACTGAGGCATAAAAGTGCGTGAAGTAACTTGCTCAAGATAACATGACCTGGAAGTGAGAGCGCTTGAGTATGATCTCAGGCTGTCTGGTTTCCATATTTTTCAAATAAATTTATAATGGAATGAAGGGGAGGAAGTAGTTTATTCTGACAGATAATACGATGCCAAGGGACCTGAGAACATTATAAGCCAGGTCACCACTGGGACTTAATTATTAGTGGTAAGGAACAACTGGTCTCCCACTGCATGAGAGATCCATAAATTCAGAAAATACAACCGTCCTCTGTTCTCAAGGCTAACGCTCATTCCCTTGCAAACTGGGGTTGGATAGCTGCAGAAAAGAGTTCATGATTCTTAGTTTCCACTGCTTACCCACGGCTTGATCTAAAAGACCAAGAATTATTGTAGGTTAATATTCAAGATCATTCAGGTCCCTTAGGATTTGTTTCCCCCAGATCTTATAGTTATTTACTCAGTTCCTTAGATGCTTTAATCCAATATGGGTTTAACTCAAGAGTACACACATCTCTCCAGTCAACAGAAATATTTATTACTCTTTATAAATTATTAAATTAACTTTATGGCTTAGAACTAAGTGTCTCATGAATCTTGTTATCATGAATTAATAATTCTGTAAAATTATATAATGATTCACAATGTTCTTCCACATAAATTTCCTATTTAATTTCCATAGTAGTGTAGTGTAAAGTTGACATTAATGCCCCAATTTTAACTGTGAGGAATTGAAGATTTAGGAAGTTTGAGTTGCTTTCTTGAGTTCACGCAGCTATGGATTATCGAGCTAGAATTAGAACTAATCCAGCCTTCTTTTTTCTTTCTCTTTTCCACTGATTAGGGCCTGATCACAATGAGTAATCTGAAGAATCTGAGTTCTTGGAAGCGTAAAGATGGCAATCACAGCTGGACTGGTGGTGAATTCACAAGGGTGCAGTAACCCTGTAAGATCTGGCCAAAAAGCGCCATCCAGGCAGCCTCTGCCATTTATTAGAATTGTGCCGAGTGGCGTAGATGGTCAGTGTGATGGCCTGTTAGAGATGGGAGGGGTCGCTGTGTGTGGGCTTTGAAGGAGGGGCAGGATTTGAATGGGCGAGGACAAGAATTGTGACTTACTGGACAGAGGCAGCATGGGCAAAGGCGCTGAAAGGAAGATCGTTAGGAAAATACTTGGGAAGAGAGGGCTGCTGGGTTACAAGCCGGATAATCAGGTTTGGTCAATAAGATGGGGGAGAAGATTAGATTTGAATTAGGAGGCAGAAAATAGGAAACTGTATCATGTTCTTGAAATCGGGACTGGCATGCCCAGTGGGCTCCTTGGCGGTGATCGACGCCTTTTTGTTTGGCAGGGTGACTGATGGCGAGGCAAAGGCGTCGGGCGAGGAGAGCAGATATTTGATGATGATGAGGGATCCAGTTACGGGGCAGGCGGAAGGATGGAGACGGATGGGACACTTAAATGAGTGTTTTACTATAGTGAGTGACAAACTGGATTCCGAGGCCGAGGGAGAGTTTAAGGATGGTCACTTCAAGGTAAAAAGAAGGGTGCAGCTACTGGCAGCCAAAGACGGTAAAGACGGGGAGAGCGTTTCAGAGAGAGGCTTCCTTAGCTCACTGGGTGTGATGTGACCTTATCTCGGAGGAGGGTCCCCACGAGGAGAAACCTTCAGGGCAACTGAAAGGGAAGTCAGAGGAGTTTGATCCGGACACACTGACAAGCTGCGGCATTGGTGCCGTCAGGTTGGGAGTAAACGCAGGCGCACCAGTGAGAGAGGTGAGAAATAAAAGCAGAAGTTCTTCACTGCAGGCTGTGGACCTGCCTCTTCAGGTGCTAAANCGGCATTGGTGCCATCAGGTTGGGAGTAAACGCAGGCGCACCAGTGAGAGAGGTGAGAAATAAAAGCAGAAGTTCTTCACTGCAGGCTGTGGACCTGCCTCTTCAGGTGCTAAAAGATGCATGAAGCGCAGGACCCAGACCAAGGAGGAGGGGTCAGAGGACCAGGGGACAGGCAAGGGTCAAGACGTTGCATAATCAATTTAAAAAACTAGAGTCAAAAATAAGAACCTACTAGGACAAAATAATCCTGAGTGTAAACTGTAATTGACAAATTTTGAAAAAAAATTGAAAAAAATGCTGTTTGCCTGAAACTAATTCAAAATAATGTTGAATATTAACTGTAGTTAACATTTTTAATTACAAAATAAGAATTAGAAAAGTATACCATTGTATATGATAATAACACAACCAATGAAATTTGGGGAAAATAATTCAGGTTGAATAAGTTAATCACAGTATATCTACCACTATCAGTAGATAAGTAAGATTCTACATTAACTTTTTTTTTTGCTGTTTTAACCATACACTGTTAGAAAGCTAATGACCTACAAGTCAATTTATAGAATTCGTCCTAAAAGCTGCTGATATCAATATGATCTTTAGGAATTTTAGCTACTTGAATAAAATTGGAATTTGGGAAAGTTAAAAATATTTCTAGGAAGAGTAAACTGTAAGAATTAAGTAAAAATTTTGCAAAATATTGAAAATACCCTCAAATCAAAGCGGAAAAAAAAGACAACACTTGCAGTCATCCCAAATAAGTTGTATTTGGTGCACCTGGTGCTGAGAAAGTTTTAGAGAGAGTATATTTAGCCACAATTTCACTAGCTCATCATGCATTTTCTGTTTTCTTAATTCAGACTTTATTGCTAGAGAGATTTGCATGAAAGGATATTTAAAAAGTTTCATCTGTTTCTCCTGTTTATTTCTTTACGTGAAGTCATAATCATATTTCCAGAAGAATAAATTAGGATTTCACAAACAAAGGATTATAGCTTTGGGAGGATAATTAGATGCCAGAAAATGAGTTTTTTAAAAAGAGGGTCTTGTTTATAATATCAAGTATCTGTGACAAACACTATGTGTAATAGTGAAAATGTGCCCCAAGCGTGACATGTCATGTGAGTCAAGATCCTGCTGAAGGGATTCCCGGCATCTTTTAAAAACTTTTGGCTATGGTATGGATTTATTTATTTTATTTTTTTAATTATATCTTTATTGATCTCAGAGAGAGGAAAGGAGAGCGAGAGAGAGAGAAACATCAATGATGAGAGAGTCATTGATCAAGCCCACAAGCCGCGCATGTGCCCTGACCGGGAATTGAACCCCGATTGCCTGGATCCTAGGTCGACGCTCAACCGCTGAGCCACGCCAGCCGGGCTGTGGTGTGGATTTAAAACTAAGGGAGTAGCTCATCCTGGCCCTGTCGTAGAGTTCCTGTGAGGGGCTAGTTCTCTCCTGCTGAAATTGCTTCTGTAATTTTACATGGTGACGCCCATTATTAAATGGGGAGTTCATTGAGATCACAAGGACCTGGGTGCCCAATGTCAGCAGGTGAAATGTGCCCTCCTGATCCTAATTCTTGTGGCGATTCGAGCTAAGTAGTGGAGAGTCAAGAAGTCCATAACATTACAGGCACATTGAAGGTTGTGTGTGTGTTGAATGAATGAATGAATGAATGAGTGAATGAATGAATGAATGAGCGAATGGGAAGGACCAGCAAAGCGTTATTAGGACCCCTCCAGAGAGCAGGCTGCTTGCTTTTTGCTCTGAGCCTGCAGGAAGGACCCCTCTGCCCCACTTTCCCAAGCCAGGGAGTAACTGCACCCTGCGGCTGGCGGCCGGTGCTCCCAGCGCGTCTGTGGCGTGTCCTGCAGCCCTGGTTCTGGTAGGTGGTGGCCTGGAAGGGCTCCTGGGCTGGCGCTGCTGAGCTTCCCCCCCGGGTCACCGAGCAGCCTTCCTTGCCACCCTCCCGGTGCAGAAAGGTTTTTCCATAATGCTTTTCCTGCCCACAGGCCTCCTTACCCGAGGTGGGGGCCAGAGGTCAAACTTCAATATCAAGGTGCCTTAGGATGTTTCGTTTTCAAGTTTTTGGTTTGGGAGAAAAAACATGCCAGAGGGATGGCCGTCATCTTTTCTGCGTTCTTTATTGAAAAATATATGACAAAATCCTTGTCATCTGAAGAGGCATCCCAGCAGGAGTGAGGAATTCTGCTTAGTGGCAGCTTTTAAAAAGGTGGTGTGCACTTCGGGTACGTCACATGCCTTCTCCAAATTTCAGGTTCATCATTAGTAAGATGATAGCAGCCCAATTTAACCAAAAGTATTTGATTATCAAATGATATGGTATATCATTTTGAAGAACTTTGCCAATGATATAAAACCTACCCAATTAAATGGTGATATTACCTGCTAAGCACTCCAAATGCGGAGGCAGTTAAAACAATTAACTATGAGATTGAGAAACACAGACATCGGCAGGTGCAAAATCTACTAATTTGATCATTTCTAGGGCCATTAGCTTGTCATATATACAAATGTCCACACATGACAAAAATAAACGAAAAAAACTCCTTTCATCTAAAAGTGCCTTTTCCTTTTTTGGCTAGTCCCGTAATCACAACCTGGCAGCTACCAATTCTTTCGAAGGGGATTGTTTGGGCATTTGATCCATCTCATAAGATGTGTGTCTGTGGCTTTTATAATTGCTACCAAAAAAGGAGGTGCTGAATATATTTAGTCTCTTTCTGATTCTCAGGCAGAGCCACTGGCCAGGATTCGGGACCACAGCGTCCCACAGGGCACGGTGATAACTTTCCTTCCAGACAAACCTCAGCTAACCGCGCTCACATTGGAGGAAATAAATCAGAAAACCGCGGTTCCATCATCACAGAACTGAAAGAACTGCATAAGTAAAATGACAGGCTATTAATTCTGGTTTGGAAAGCATGAATAAGACTTTTGATGAAGCTTAATTTTCTTTTGGCTCTTCAGGAATAGATAAATCACTTAAAATAAAAATAGATGTTGTAGTGTGGGACACTCATTCCTCTCAATAGTGATTATTTGGGGGAAAGTGGTTTTTTAATGATGAAAAATAATGATGAAGGGCTCACATGAATTCTTCAAAATAGCACACAGTTCATTCTCTGATGCCTCACTAAGCTCTAGATTGAAAATTATCTCATGTAATTTGGGTAAACCTCCAGTATATAAAATTTTAATTGAAAAGATAGGATATTTCATTAAAGGCTGTCACACATCACTATTGTTGCCAAATGAGGCTTGGCTGTACCTCCAAGGAATTTTTCTACTGACTGGTTTTGCCTCCAACCTGAGCCAAATAAGCCTTCGAGATCCATGTCAGCTATAGTGTGTTATGTGAGATGGAGAACAAAGATATTGGTGTACATTTATTTGTTGTTATAGCATTTATGCGATTTACATGCAAATGAATATTTTCATCAGCAATTTCATTACAAAACTTCAGTGGTTTTAGAATAATGATCCATTTTTAAGTTTTGCACCTGGTAAGGTATTTATAGTTCCATGAATAAATCTATACAAAATGCTGTGACAGTCAGAAACAAAAAGGGGGGAAAAAGAGAAGAGAGCATTTTGGAAGTAAATGTACCTTGGAGTCAGTCTAGAATGTATAAGCAAGAGAGTTCTTTTTTGTTTCTGCAAATTCTTTTTCCCATTTGTGAGATAATAAGGTTTTTTTGCCTTTTTTTTTTATTGAATTCATTGGCAGAGATAATGAGTTTTATTTTCTATTTTTTCCCTGGGGTCAGCAAATTCACCCTGAAAAAAAAAGTAGGGACTCACAGTGAGAAAGGCATACGCACACTACCCCTGCGTTTAACGAGGACCCCACATAACCGACCCCACATAACCGCATCCCACTGGACCGTGTTCCCTGCGGGGTACGTTAGGGCCAAGGGGCGGCAGGAAGGCGCCCGGATGACTCTAGAGCCGAGTGGAGCGGGAGTGAGCACACAGGTAGCACTGCAGCTCCGCGAAGCCAGTTCGCCCGGCGAAAACCACCGAGGCAAACCCACCACCCTGCC